CTGTGGCCTTATCAGGATACAAATTAGGGATTCAAAAACAACACAAAAGCTCATTACCCTTTCCCTTTTCTCAAACGTTCAATTCTTATTAACCGGAAAGTACATGAACCAAATTGTTTCCAGCTGAAAAATGGCAAAAGAAGAACATTTAGAGCTTGTCTCCAGTGGAATAAGCTTCTCTTGCTTTGAATTTATAATCTATTAGATCTTACTCTTGGTTTTTAAAGCCCTCTGTTCTTGTCCGAACTCTTGACTGTTTGTGACTCAGGCAGATCATTGAGGCCCTCATCTCGACTCCTCCCGGAAGACCCAGGAACCAGGTCCGAACACTGAGGAGACCGGTGCTTCTCAGTCCTGGAGCCAGACTCTGGAACAAGCTGCCCCCTGATGTGTGTGTCACTGATGTTGACCTTTTGAAATTGATGCTCAAAACATATTCATATTTGAAATTCTCTTTAACTGTTTTACTGTTTGAATACACAAATGTTTGAATGTGATTTTCTTGTAAAGCACTTTGGTCGCCTTGAGTTTTGTAAAGAGCTCTATGAATAAAGTTGACTGATTGATTATTGTCTTGTCTTTTTCTGTAACCGTGTATGTCATTTCTGTTTCAAAACCGTTTGGCGGAGCAAACAGACGATGAGGATCCTTTGTAAACGAAATGATTCATCTCAAGAGGCAATCCTTAATACATAAATAAATGCTCTGGACAGCCACATGTCTCTAGAGATGTGCTACAAATATTGTTCAGTGCAGAGTGAAGCTGCACTACTTACCTCAATAATGACTCTCATCAAGTGTCTGGCAACCCCCAGCTGTGTGTCCTATGATACATAATAATAATAATAATAATACATTTTTATTTGTATAGCACTTAAAAAAACGTGTTTACAAAGTCAGAAAGTCAGCTCAAAAATAAATACAGCAGAACAAAGCAGACGGACAACACGACAGACAAAAGACAAAGTGGAACCGTAAAATACAATATGTGAAGTTTGGCCGATGGCACATAATGGTTGGCTCACTTCTGTCAGTGTGCCCCAGGGCAGCTGTGGCTACAGTAGTAGTTTATCACCAGCGTGTATGGAGTGAAAGAATAACATGTGAAGCGTCGTTGAGTGTCCTGAAAAGCGTTGTATCAAACCAATGCATAATTATGAACAATTTTTAAAACATTATAAACAAACATTTGCACATTTGTCTATTGTTCTGTTCTATTTCTACTGCCTTCTAATCACACTTTTGTATCAAGAAACAAATTGAATGTAAACAGAGAAAAACCATGTCCTGTTTTTATAATGAATTTGGGAGAAAATGTAGGACAAACACTAATCCCTTCTCTTCAGTAACGAAGCACGAATAATGAAGAGCAGCGAGGAGAGTCTTCTTCAGTCTGCGGAGAGGAGATTCACGAGTCCTGCTCAGTTACAGACGCTCAAATAAAGAACACGGTTTGGATCCCATTGGCTTCAGAGAAAAGTCTCAAACTCAAGGGCTCACACGACTCTAACTAAATACTTCAGGTTTTTATTAAGATAAGTTATACAATACAATATATGCAGCTGCGTTGTTTCTTAGCTGTAAACGCTACATAAGAACAGCACGTACATTTCAATCATAATTTGTTTTAAAGGTAAAGGTGCACTTTATTGATCCCCGCACGGCAATTCATCCTCTGCATTTGACCCATCCTGATGCCGCGAAGGCTTGGAGCAGTGGTCGCCATAGTAACAGCGCCCGGTCAAGACTACCAAAGCTGGAGGATTTAACCTAGTAAGCATGTTTTTAGTGGTAGGGGAAACCGGAGTACCCGGAGGAAACCTACGCAAGCCGGGGCAGAACATGCAAACTCCACTCAGAAAGACCCCATTTGGACCAGGATTCAAACCCCGGACCTTCTTGCTGAGAGGCGAGAATGCTACCCACTCAGTCACCATGCCGCCCTAATGATGAGGAGAACATGGACCAGTGGACTCACTCCTTCACTGTATCCAACAGATCAGTGAGTGGATGCAAAACAACTTCCTTCAGCTAAACGCAGACAAAACTGAAATGATTGTCTTTGGTCCCCAGAAACAAAGAGAGAGCGTCATCTGTCACCTACAGTCTCTCTCCCTAAAACCTTCAAACAAGGTCAGAAATCTAGGGGTAATACTGGACTCAGACTTAAATTTTAATAGCCACATCAAATCAGTAACATCAGCAGCTTTTTACCATCTAAAAAACATTGCCAGGATCAAAAACATAGTGTCTAAAGCAGACTTGGAGATTCTTATCCATGCATTTGTCTCCAGTAGGTTAGACTACTGCAATGGCCTGCTCACAGGTCTGTCCAAACAGGCTGTAAAACAGCTGCAGTACATTCAAAATGCAGCAGCTCGAGTCCTGACTAGAACCAGGAAGTACGACCACATTAGTCCAGTTCTCAGGTCTCTGCACTGGCTTCCTGTGGCTCAGAGAATAGACTTTAAAACAGCTCTGCTTGTGTACAAGTCTCTCCATAGCCTCGCACCAAAATATATTAGTGACATGTTAGTCCCATATGAACCAGCCCGGACTCTGAGGAGCACAGGGACTGGACTCCTGTTAGTGCCCAGAGTCAGAACTAAACATGGGGAGGCTGCTTTTCAGATTAATGCTGCTAAAATCTGGAACAGTCTTCCTGAAGATGTGAGACAGGCCTCCTCTCTGACAATGTTTAAAACCAGGTTAAAGACGGTTCTGTTTAACTGTGCATACAACTGAGGGATTTTATATTTTTATCTTTCTTTTTAATGTTCTGTGATAATTTATGATTTTAATGCTTTCTTGTTTTGTTCAGCACTTTGAATTGCCTTGTGTATGAATTGTGCTATATAAATAAACTTGCCTTGCCTTGCCTTGCCATGATTATATATTATCTTTCATATTTTCATACCCCCTTTGGCGTTTCATTTTGTTTGTTCTCTAAAGACGTATTCACTCTAATTATAAGTGGTAACAAACTCTGAAAGGAAGGAAACGCAATTTTAAATCCTGCCTTAAATCCTCTTTTTGCTCTACATATCTACAAAGTCTACATATTGATTTTTAGAGTAAAACCTGAGCTAAAAATTATTGTATTTCGTATATTTTATTCAATACATACCACTAAATATTTGGCCTTTTCTGATCAAAAGAGTAATATGGATTTATACTTGACTCAAATGTGGGTTTTCAGTTCAGTAAGTAAGTAGTAAGTAAGCTTTATTTATATACCGCCTTTCACAGACCAGAGTCACAAAGCGGCTTACAGTTGTTATTTTTTGGGCACTTGTCCTCTCACTCCACACAGAGATGGGAGCGGGGTCGCCGAACAGGGGGCGCATGCCAGACCTATTGTACATATTTTTAGTGGTAGGGGAAACCGGAGTACCCGGAGGAAACCTACGCAGACACGGGGAGAACATGCAAACTCCACTCAGAAAGGCCCTGGTCCGGCCGGAATTCGAACCCAGGACCTTCTTGCTGAGAGGCGAGAGTGCTATCCACTCAGCCACCGTGCCGCCCTGGCAGTACAGTGAAATGCCAGCACCTTACAGAACTTCACCTTTTCCTTTTGTCATATTCTCATACTTCATAGCAACAAGTCTCAGAACTCTAGGGTGCAGTATTCTTCCTTAACCAGCAGATGGCGACCACACTTGCTTTGAATTTAAAAATAAATATTGACGGCGGTTTGTAAATTGCATTTGATGGAAAAGAGCGATGAAAAGCAGGAGGGAGACGAGTTTGCGAGTTTAGTTTTAAGTTACAGAGGTTTTTGAAAGAATTGAAAATAAATTCTGGTTGACTATATCAACTAAACTAAACTAAACTATAACTATACAGCTATTTGGATTTGACATTTCCCCTGACAGAACTGAGGGACATTTCAACAGATTCAATAGAGCAGATCCAGGTTGAATACATGTAGAATACTTATTTGGTTTTTGTGTTATTTGTGAGTTAATTGTTTTTCTTTTCATTCATTGATAATAAAGTGTGGTTTGAAGAGAACAGTGAGGTTGTGACTCCATTGTTTGAGGAAGCAGGCACACTTTCATATTGGCCGATCAATCATGACCATATTTTTATCTTTCCCTGTATCTTCATGGTGTGGCCATGTAGTCTACCCTCAAAAAGAAAAACTCTTTGGACCAAATTATAAAAAAATTACTCTTGAGTCCTGACTTTGCCCTTTATGACCACTTTTACCTTTTCTTTCATTACTGTTGCGTTTTTATTGTTATTTGTGTATTTATAAATGTGATTGTATTCATATCTTTTGTGTAGATGCACAAAGTCTCTATTTTTAACTGCAAAAATAATCTATACCAAATAAAGTCACCTTGAACCTGGCAACTTTTTTCACTTCACACACAAAAGCTTGTACTTTTATACTTAAGTAAGGGAAGGATTTCAGGACCGAAAGTTGATTTTTGAACTAGTATCTATACTTTTACCTCAGACTCTTGCCACATCTAATTCACTTCAAACAGACACAATAATTAGTCACAGTCCAAAACACATTTTATTTTATTCCTCCACACATGTATAACGTTTTCTCTCTGTTTGTATGTAACATATATTTTGCAGATTCAGGTGTTAAAGTTCACATTTTTCACCATTTTTTTTTCCTTCAAATTCTCTTAATTTTTGACTAGTTTGGTTTCTCAGGCTTTGTATGAAACATGCCTCTAGTGCATCCCTTCTACACTTTCACTAATATTTTGGCACAAATCTGGCAATATTCTTCGCACATTTACCTCCATATCTCATTTCCCATTCTCTGTTAATGTCTCACTCAAAGTCACACTCAGTTATTGGAAAATCTTTAGGCCGTTCCACAGAGCCACACTGCCCTCTGCTGGTCAAGATAGAAAAATACACTTTATTCCAAACACTTCATAATTTAGATTTCTAGTGTACATACAGTATTTATATATAATCTCATCGCTAGGCTGCGTCAGTCAGAGCACAATGAGACCATGGGGCAGTGTTTATGTGGCCATGATGTATTTGACAAAAGCTTCGTAGTTGATGCATCCGTTTCCATCTTCTTGGTTCTGCATCAGCATCTCCACCTCGTCCTCTCGCATCTTCTCTCCTACGGACAAAAAGACAAATAAAAGTTTATTTTAGCATATTTTTCTGCGTTCATATGAAGCCAGTGTCCCCATTATTAAATAACTTTATCGACTAAGACGACAAGATGGACCTTCCTAAACTAACCCCAATATTGTGTTTTGTATAACTGATAATTAGTGGAATAAAAAGCTTTTTGTGTGCTGTGTTTTTCCTGTACATAACTGTTGTCGCTTTTTCCTACTTTATGGGACTGTTAAATGTTTATGTTGTCGCTATTGTCGAGTGGTGAGATGAAGGAAGAACCCAAAATGGAAGAAAGCAAAAAAAAAGATGATTTAACGATAACTAAACAAAAGCAAGCTCCATGATCGCAATAGTGTATTTATTTATTTTTAAAATGACCTTATCTGCTCTGCAAACACTTTCTATGGAGCTGCAAAGAGGCCATGTCTTATAGAATCAGGAAAGTAAAATGATAAAATATTGAAGGCGGATCAGCCCCAAAGACATTATCCAAAAATTACACACTATTGTTCTTCTTTTGCCGCGTTCATTTGTTCTCGGAAACACGGTAAATCTGACTTCACACGAGGAAAAATGGGAATCAACATTGCTCAAGTCGGAAATAGTTCTCGGAACCTCGGGCTGGTTTGTGTTTCTATGACGATGATTTCAATGGGTGTGACGTCATTTCCGGTTAACAAAATACAGCCCTTTCACTTCCTGCCTATGCTATCCTTTGGCTTTTAGGTGGGTTTTAGTGACGTTTTGTAGTAATTAGATTGATACATTCAGCTGTGAGACTGACCCAAAAGTGTCACTGGGCTTTCTCTCTGAGGTAGAGCTTTGTCTGTGGCCACTCAGAGCGATTTGTAAACTTTTTAAAACACAACGACAGTATTCTCACAGTTTAATTCCCGTTTGAGCATTATTTGGGAAACTCGTGTAAACCACTGCTGAACTCAAGCCGTTTCCCGCGAACCGGAAGTGAAGTGGGGCTTTAGCTAAAACGCGGAAGTGGTGCGTGCATAGAGCCCATCCGACACGTAGATTGTGATTGGATGAAAGAATAAATAAAGATAAGAATGAGAGAGATGTGTTTAAATCCAACTAACATAAAACACATTTTGGTCTGCACAGCCACTCAGTATTTACAATATGCTCTTTGCTGATTATGGAATGTGAAGAATTTCAAGGGATTAATCAAATTCTGCTTATTTTCACTCCAAGTAAGAAGTTCCCCTGTTGAGTGTGGAGCGTGCAGGGCCTTACCCAGAGTGGCGAGCACGTGCCTGAGCTCGGCCCCCATCACGGTGCCGTTGCCCTCCTTGTCGAACACCCTGAGCCCCTCCACAAAGTCCTCGTAGGTGCCGCGGTCCTTGCCCTTACAGATGTGCTGGTGCATGGGCAGGAACTGGTCAAAGTCCAGCATCTTACTCTGCATGTCTGCGCACAAACACATCAGCCGCTTTAGACTTTGAGGTGTTAAACGTATCATTGCTTGAAAGTTGGTCTCTTAATGCAACTTTTTGGAGTCGGCCGAACCTGCAGGATCCACAAAAATAGGAAGTTAAAATCCTGAACTCCGCAATATGTTGGTTTTTATCTACATTTCAGGGCGGAAGAAGACCAGTACCTATTTTCCGAGATTGACCTGCGTCCTATACATTATCCCACACTTTTATTTGTTTAGTTTATTTGAATAGGGACAGTACACATTCATCAGAAGTACAGTAAATGTGCCAATATTAGCTGTACTGTAGTCCAGAGGCAAGATGAAAAACGCCAGCAAAGACACTGCAAACATTACAATAAAATATATACAGTAATGTTGTCAAGTTGCCTTAAAAACATAATTTTAAAAAACAAAAACAATGATTTTTAAATGTAAATGTGAAGATGTTTTAGGGTCTAAGGACAGTGGTGATGATCCAGGACATTTATGGACATTTATGGACAACTATCAAAATGGCATCTTCATAAAGTATATCCTGGTTAGATAGAGGGTTTCCGGTGTCATGGTGGCAGCGTAGACAACACGCTCTCCCCAGTACAAAACTTTTCATGTAATTCCTTGGAAATGGGATAAAGCCGGTGCTAACACGAGACAATACTGCCAAAGTGCATATTAATGAGGAAAACGAGACAAAACACTGCTGCGAAGCAAGCCATTATGACGGACTTAAACAAGGAACTTGGCGTGGAGAATTCCGCTCTCGCCAAAGTAATTGAAGAGACTATGGCAAGATTCTTCAAAGAAGCGGACGACAAATCCGAGGCCCGTAGTAACAGATTAGAAAAGCGCATTGAAAGCATGCATTCCATTCTCTGCCGTCATACTGACGAAATCAAAACTTTGCGTGCTGATACAAACATGCTGCAGGAACGTATCACGCAAACTAACAAGCACCAAAAGTCATTGGAGGCAAAAATCACCGAGATGGAAGACAGATCTCGCAGAGACAACCTTCTTATATTCAACCTTAAGGAGGGAACGGAAGGGCCAAACGCTCGGGCTTACTTGATGGAGAGCTTCCCGAAGTGGTTCCCGGCTCTGGGGGCTGCCCCTCTGGAGATCATGAGGGCGCACCGTCTGGGCCCGCCGCGGAGATCCACTGCTTCAGCGGACACTGGCCATAGTCATCGCCCGCGTCCTCTTATCCTGAAGTGCCTGCGCTACACCGAGAGGGACCTGCTGCTGAAGGAGGCTCGCAAACACGCACCTGAAGTCGCCGGGATCCAGTTAAAGTTCGCCGCGGACTACAGCGAACCCACGACAGCCCGCCGTAAATCATGCTACAAAATAATGCATGATGCCCGCACTAAAGGATTCGACGCGTTTCTTCTCTACCCCGCTACAATCAAGCTCCAGCGAAGCAACGAAAGCTATGTCTTCAAGGAGTCCACGGATGCTGAAGAATTCCTTGCGGCTGATAATCGTGACTAGCACAACAATGCAGGGTAAGACTGTCTATCTGATGGGTCCTTTGTTTTTGTTTTCTTTTTTGTACATGAATGGGCCAGATGTAAAGACTTTTTTTTCCCTTCTCTTTTTTCCTTGTTTTTCTATTTTTATTCATTTTCTTTTATGACTTTCCTGGCTATAATAAGACATTGCACGTTGGGACAGGTACGACAAATCATCCCACCTTTTGTTATTGTAATGGGGAGATGGTCTAAGCTCAGATCATGGTTATCGGAACTGTCTTTTTGGGGGAATGGGTCTTTTTTCTTTGCGTTTTTTCAGGGGGGATTTTGATTTTCTTTCTTTTAATTACTTGCCATTGTAATCCTTTTTTATTTGTTTGTGTGTGTGTGCGTGTGCGTGGGGGGGTATTGTCTAGGTATCTTTTTGTTTCTCATGTCCTGTCACATACTACATATATATTAAATGGATAAAATTAATGTTCTTTCATTGAATGTATGTGGGTTAAATTTTCCACAGAAGCGCCTAAGCACTCTAGACTTCTTGCATAGGAGGAGCATCGATGTAGCTTTTATTCAAGAAACACATCTTCTTCAAATAGACACGCATAGACTAAACAATAAACACTATGAGGTTATTGCCTCATCATGCAACGAAAAGAGGAAAAAAGGAGTTCTCATAGCCATCCGTCGCAATCTAACATATTCCAATTTAGGCACTGGCAGCAATGCAGGGGGCCGGATAACATTCTGTAAAATCATCTTAAATGGAATTAAAATTGCCCTCATGTGTGTCTATGCACCAAATAGCTATGATCAAGACTTCTATGACTCTCTAAACTCTATTCTTCTTGATTTGACTGATTATCGCCTCCTTATTGGGGGGGACTTTAATGCAGTATTGAACCATAGCACTGATAGAACAGGGAGTAACGACCAAAGACTAGCTTCTATTGCATTGCAAACTTTAATTCAGCAATATTGTCTAATTGATACATGGCATTTGATGAATCCATCAGCTCGAGAATTTTCTTTTTATTCCGCACGTCACAAAACCTTCTCCAGGATTGATTATATATTTGTGTCAAAAAACCTTTTTGAAAGGCATGCACAGGACCGTCCTGTGCAGACAGAAACACACGTCAAAATTAACATTCAAATATCAAAGTACAACGAGCCCAAAAACACCGCGGACTGGGAAAGTACAACAGCTTTACGCATTCTTCAGATCATATTGGCATAAGCTTGTAAGACAAAATCTGGAACGATGCCGCCGAAGAAAATTTACGCTACTGAGGAAGTGGAGGAACTGCGAAAATCACTCGACTCCTTGTCTGCTAAAGTCACTGCAATGAGGAGCCAGCAAAGTGATACAAGCGCGTCATCATCTGCTGAGGATGTTGGGGAAATTAAAAGGTCGTTGGACTTTATCACTGCGGAGACTACTGCAATAAGGAGCCAGCAGAAACAACTTCTACACTTAGTGGAGGAAGTGAAGCAGCTGCGCTTATTGAATGCAGAGAAGGACAGGAAGATCACAGACCTGGAGAAGAGGTAGAGGATCTGGAGCAGTACTCTAGGATCAACGATATTGTCGTGACCGGGTTAAAGATCAGGCCCCGGTCATATGCCAAGGCAGTGACCGCTGGAAGTGGAGCCGAGCCCGAGGAGTCAGAGATGCGCTCAGTGGAACAGCAGGTGGCAGCCTTTCTTGCGTCCAAAGACATATCACTGGACTTGGAGAATATTGAGGCCTGTCACCCTCTACACAGAAAGGACAACGACACGACTGCTGTCATCATGAGATTCACCAACAGGAAGAATAAGATTGCTCTGCTGAAGCAAGGGAGGAAACTGAAGGGAAGCAATGTTTTCCTCAATGATCACTTAACCCGAAAAAACGCGGACATTGCACGTAAGGCTAGATTCCTGAGGAAGCAGAGCAAAATCCAAAACACATGGGTGAGCAACTGCAAAGTGTTTATTAAACTTAATGGATCACCAGAGGCAGCCAGAGTTTTGGTCATTAGAAGCATGGAGGAGCTGAGTAAATATGAATGATTTCGCAAATGGGTAACACGTATTACGTAATCTAATTCAACACATGACAAATCACAATTCTATTGCTGTAAGAGACATGGAATTACACCATATGTGTGTTAATAATGACAACTTGGAATTAAACACATTTGAGAACACTAGTATCAATAATGAACATGATCCTTATTATGATATAGACCCTGACAATATGTTTTTCTCACATAGTAATTTTGACTGTAAATATTATTCAGAAGATCAACATAATGCAATCGAGGCTGATGGTAAATTGTCAATCATTCATTTTAACAGTAGGAGTATGTACTCAAACTTTAATAGTATTAAGGAATATCTTCAACATATTGAGCAATCTTTTAGTATAGTTGCAGTGTCTGAAACATGGTTTAAGGAAGAAAAAGGTGGCAATTTTGATTTAGATGGTTATAATTTTAATTGTGAATAGAACCAACAAAGTGGGTGGAGGGGTTGGAATATATGTAAATGAGAATATGAATTATAAAATAATTGAAGAAATGTCATTAGCTGTAAGCGACATACTTGAATGTATTGAGTTTTTTACCGAGTGGATGGAGAAAATGTACTCAACCACAAATAAAACATTATTTATATGTGGTGATTTCAACATAGACCTGCTTAATCCCAACAACCACACAGTAACAGATGACTTTATGAACAAAATGTATAGTATGAGTCTATTTCCAATCATAACACGTCCCAGTAGAATCACATCTCACAGCGCAACACTTATCGACAACATTTTTACAAACAACATTGAGCGCACCTCACAGAGTGGATTAATGGTGTGTGATATAACAGACCACCTCCCTGTATTTGCCATATATAATGACAACTACACCGATGAGAAGAAATCACATGATCCCATATTTAAACGATTAAGAACAGAAGATGCCATTTCAAATTTCAAACGTGATCTTTTAGGTCAAGAATGGAATGATATAGAAGTAAATGTGGATAGGGCCTTCAATAACTTAGTTGACATATTTTGCACACTTTACGATAAACATTGCCCAATGCGTAATTTTAATAAAACTAAAAAAACAACTAACAGTCCCTGGTTAACTAAAGGCCTACTTAATGCATGCAAAAAGAAAAACTATTTATACAGGCAATTAATCAAATTAAGAACAGAAGAGGCTGAAAGCCGATACAAACAATACAAAAATAAATTAACAAACATAATTAGAACGTGTCAGAAAGAATATTACACTAATGTTTTGAATGAAAATAAAAATAATATTAAAGGTATTTGGAGCGTACTAAATAAGATATTAAAAAGGGAAACTAAGAAGGACCCATATCCAAATTATTTCCTTGAGGGGAGAACCACTGTCACAAACATGCACAACTTTGCCAATAAGTTTAATAATTTTTTTGTAGGCATAGGCCCAGAGCTGGCAGAAAAAATCCCTGAACACAACAAAGTTGTTGATCTTAATCTGATT